GGGGGGGGGGGGGGTGGTGAGAATACAACTGGATAGCTAGAGAAAGACAACTCAACGCAATTGGCCGAATCTACGCCAAATCAATATTACTTCCATTATAGTTGAAATAACACGTTTGAGCAAAGATCCAACACAACTTTTGGTGAGTCAACTACTAAATTCGACATAGGCATTACGGAAAATAGTGCTCCGAGTTTCTGCTGACAAAAAGCTTAATGAGTGCTTCCCATGACAGAAAAGTAGGCAGAGTAAGATTTTAGAAAAATCCGGCTCAACAGGCGGAACAAAAAAATTAAATAAAATTTAAAAAACCAGGGTACACGCAATCAAAATCGGGAAGCTTGAGATTTAGGGCAGAGATGAGTGGCAGGTTTGGAAAATAAACTGATTCATTGTTCTTCAGAGCCAGCCCAGGGTTCACATTCCAGTCTTTCCAGACTTTCGATGGTAGAAAATCCGAAATGTTACCGAAAACACGTCGTTCCATGTGGGTATCCCAGGAAGTGATGACATCACATTACTAAAATTAGCAGCCAATCAGAAAGATGCGTCATTTCTAAGTTTAGTTAACAGCATGTCTAATCACTAAAATCGCAACGCACGCGGCGTTGCAAATGGCCACCTCTATTCTCACCCGGGATGAGAATAGTGCAGGCGAGTCTTTTGGCTATTCTCACCCGGTGCGCGTTCACCGTTATAGCCTAGATCTAGGCCAACAAATTTTGCGTTCACCCTAAACCACAGAATTCTACACTGCGATAACAGAAACATTGTAGAATTCTGTGCCGTGAACAAACGTTCCATTACAACTGTAGCCTAGCCTACTAAAAGCGTACAATTTTGTCTGTGGGCAGTGGAGAGAGAGAAAGACAGAGAGACAGGAGTAGCGCGAGAACTTCCGGTCAAAACAAAATGGCGACCCGCGTAGTTCGGCTCGATTCGAAAAGTTAAATAGCTGTAGCATCTTTGTAGACAACCAAATTAATTTACTTTTGTGTTTTAACATCATTTTTTAACTTTGTTTTGGTCAATTTGATCGTCCACACCGATAGACAGTATTCAGAAAGAGACAGAGAGAGAGAGATAGGGGAGGAGTAGATCTTGCGAGAACTTCCGGGCAAAACAAAATGGCGACCCGCGTAGTTCGGCTCGATTCGAACAGTGAAACAGCCATAGCATCTTTGAAGACGATCAAATTTAAATTAGCTTACTTTTGTGCTATAACGTAATTTTTTCTTGGCTTTTATCAATTGGATCATCCACACTGATAGACAGTATTCCAAAATGAGGAAAAGCAGGTGAGAGGTAGATCGTTTTTCTATTCTCACCCCGGATGAGAATAGCCACTTCCGTTGCAAATAGGCACTTCCAAAAATCTTACTAATCTAGATCTAGATATCTAGATCTATAAAATTATGAGATATTCACTTTTACCCATTAAGTTTCTAAAACTAGGGTTTAAATACACCTTAAAATAGAAACCAAAGGGTGAAGGAACCTCTTAAGTTGGCCTGAAAAGGGGAGCCCCGTTTTCCTCTGCAGTATTGCCCGCCCCGAGTTGACTACTGAACTGTCTGAACTGAAGGGCGCTCAACTCACCATCATGGTTAACCCAGCCCGGTTTCACGATTTTCATTTTCTGTAGGACAAGCACTGATAAGGTAAGAAATAGTTTAAGATTGCAGGTTATGGGCTTTGAAATCCAGAAATCAAAGTGCTTTCTTTACGTGAAACTGAAACCCCTTCCGAGCGTAAGACCCGCCATTGTTGTTGTGTGTACGCATTATCGGTTATTTATTCCTGAAGAAGATGTTCTTGTTATCCTAATTTCCTCCTGCCAGCAATCACAAAAGTGCCAAGATGTTCTTGCTCACATAATTTTTGTACGGACCGGTGGTTCAAGACTGGGTCAAAGTTCAGCAATCGTACCGGCCAAGCTGAACTTAGAGACTGAACATTGTAAACAAAGGCCCTACCCTACATGTATGTTGTCATCGTATATTCTTTCTTGAGTATAAAGTATAAAAGTGATGTAATCAACAGTTCGTGAGTTGACTGACAGACTTATTATCTATCTATCGGTATCCATCATTCAACACAACCTCCTTCGACTCTGGATGTACTGACTGATACTGATTGATACTGATAGTTGATAGGATAGTGAAGTGAAGCAGCTGACGTGTAGATCTAGTAATTTGGTGTAGGGAAGTAAATCTATTTCTAGATCTAGATCTAGAAATCTAGG